AAAAAAAAAAAAAAAAAAAAAAAAAAAAAAAAAAAATCAAAACACACAAAAACAAACAAAAAAAAAAAAAAAAAAAAAACAAACAAAAACTAAAACAAACAAAAACAAACAAAAAAAGCAAAAATAAACAAAAACAAACAAAAACAAACAAAAAACCAACAAAAGAAACAAAAACAAACAAAAGAACACAAGCAAAATAACCAATAGAACTAAAGCATTACGTGGGTCAATTACCGTTGCAGCATCTGTTGGCTTAAATACCACTGTAGCATGGTTTAAATGCCAACAAAGCATCACTTGGCTTACATACCACCGTAGCGTCACTTGGCTTACAGACCACCGTAGCGTCACTTGGCTTACATACCACCGTAGCGTCACTTGGCTTACATACCACCGTAGCGTCACTTGGCTTACATACCCCCGTAGCGTCAATTGGCTTACTTACCACCGTAGCGTCACTTGGCTTACTTACCACAGTCGCATCACTTGGCTTACATACCATCGTAGCGTCATTTGGCTTACTTACCACCGTAGCGTCACTTGGCTTACATACCACCGTAGCGTCACTTGGCTTACATACCACCGTAGCGTCACTTGGCTTACATACCACCGTCGCGTCACTTGGCTTACATACCACCGTAGCGTCACTTTTATATATATATATATATATATATATAATACTTTAAAAAACATGTTTGACTATCAGACAAGTTAGATGGCTGATGTACAAGTGGTAGGCGCCTTATATAAGTCTTTAGTCTGAACCAATCTTAGCAGCGTTCTCTCGTACGGTCACCAATTCTAAATAATCACTCATTAAGTCATTGTAGTCACTAAGGGCGTTCGTTGAAGGCTTTTTTTCTACGCTAGAGAAATAGTTTTGTTATCTTGTGTTGACATTGTTATAATTATACAATGTTGTTTTTGTTAAAATAGATATGTTAACTTATGCGCTGAAAATGAATATGTACTATGTAACAAAATACAACATATCTCTTTATTTGGATCAATAAAATAATTTTATCATAACATCCAGCAGTGATACAGTAGTTACACCACTGTAATCAATGTCATTGAAAGATTTCCACTCATGAGATTAACAACCCCACCCAAAAAAAAAAAAAATAAACAAAAAAAAAAAAAAAAAAATCAACACAAAAAAAAAAAAACAAAAAAAAAAAAAAAAAAAAAAAAAAAAAAAAAAAAAA